CACTTTTTGAAGAAAATCTAAGACTTTTAAGTGCGCCTTATGGTCGTGAAAATACGGTACACAAATTTATACTTTCATGAACAATAATTTTAACCTAATTTGGTAGCATTCTTTTCAGCACAACCTGTTAATAGTACTTAGCACTAAACCTGTGTGAATTTACAGTTATTGACATACTGGATTAACACAACTGATCTGAAATCACACAAAAAACACAACATCCTAGTAGTAGTTTTTTTTTTACTGTAAAAATCACAAACATGTTTAGTAAATTATTTTCATAACTTGAAATGCAAATATAAATTGTAAATTTTGAAAACTTACGCATACATTTTGTAAACACTAAAGTAGATGCAACTATTTATTTAAAAATTCAGCCAAACTTGTGTTTTTTTTTTGTTTTTTGTTTTTCTTTTTTTTGTTGTTTTTGGGTTTTTTATTTGTACAACCATTTAAAATACTACTATAACTAAAATTAGAGAACAATCAGGTGTCACAATAAGATGCCCCACAAATTATTTGTGCCAGTAAAAAAAAGAAAAAAAAAAAGTCCACCACAAGACAGAGGAGAAGACCACAGGGATAAACCCTGCAGGCCTGACAACAGGTGTATCACTCCTGAGTGATACACCTGTGGTGGAAGCTGTTTAATGGCACCAGAGCCAAAGCTGTATTTACATTTTATATGAAATCATGAGATTCAAATATAGAGGTGATATATTATTATTATAATTGGTGATGTATTATCTACTAAACTAAAACTTTTAATTTCTGTCCAGTGTTACGTGGAGACTATCAGTCGCAGCAGAAGTGTAATGAAGAGGTTCCGTCTCAGGAGCACAAGTGGAGACCTGCTCTGAAAGAGGAGCCTGAATGCTCACAAACTGAAGTTGAACAGGAGGAACTCAGGAGAAGCCAGAGAGAGACACGTATAGGACTGGGAGAGAATTCAGTCACAGAGTTGCCATTCATTGCTGTAAAGAGGGAGGCTGATGAAGAGGAAGCTTTGTCAGCTCAGCTTCACAACAACGCAGAGTCTTCAGACTGCCAGTCCACTGAACATATGCAAGTAGAGAGTGATGGTGACGACAGTGGAGGAGCAGAACCACTGACCGAAGCAGCTAGTGACAAGACTTCCGACTCTTCAGACAGTGAGACTGAAGACAGCGATGATGACTGGAAAAGAATAAATACAAAGCAGTCCCATTTTAAAGTAATGATAGGTAATAGAGTTGCTAACTCACAACCTGTCCAGACATTAGATCCAAATCCAGTTAGTGATGAGAAGACTTCTGATTCATCTGAAACTGAGACTGAGGACAGTGATAATGATTTGATGGATAGCGATAAATCTAAGAAAGGTTCAACTAGTGTTACATTTAAACATGCTCTTGTTGCAAGTTCTTCAAAAATGCATACTGAGAAGAAATCTAACTGTAGGCAGCAACTGAATAATCACACAGGTACACAAACAGCACAGATTTCTATCCAGGGTTCACAACTTGTTCTTCACAAAGCAAACTCAGGTATGAGAACCAGTTCTACAGAACGACTTTTAAGCAACTCCAAGAAACGTGAAGAAAGTGCATCTCCGAAGGCACAGAACACCAAGGACAAATGCTTCACATGTTCAAGTTGTAATAAAAGTTTCCAAAGGAAAACACACCTGATTCAACATATGAAAATGCATAAAGAGAATCCTAACATTAGTGGTGTAAACAAGCCAGTGTAGTATCCAGGAATGGCTTGTTTCATTTTGTCCTTTTGTTATCCAGGAACACTGTTAACCTTTTTCTTACTGTTAAGTGAATGGCATTCCAGCTAATGATAACCAACTATCTACAGAATTTTCAGAAATAAAATATTTTTTTATTTTTGTTTTTTTAATGGACCCAAAGGTCAATAAAATGTAAAAAATGTTACAAAGACAAATGCAAAGCTACTGGTACTTTTTTTGTAATCGCTGAGGCTGCAAAACCTGCCCATTCAATTGCTCATTAGGAAGTTCACTCTGTTCTTAAGCTCGTCTGCACAGAGGACCAATGAGCTTATTCCATGTTTTGTTCTTTTTTTTCTTTTTTTTTTGTACATCTTCTGTCTAAATTAAATGTGTCAAAAGTTTGTGAGTAGTTCAAATAGAATAGACACCAGTCATTTTACTAGGTACTGCTGTTCAACTGCTTCCTAACATAAATGTTAGCCACTGCTTTCTTTACATTCTTTTAATGCTTGTTTGTTGAAAATGCTTTCTGGACTAGGGCACCGCTGAAGTTCAAATTGAGAATCAGAGTCGGGGGGGGGACTTTTCCAGGCAAAAATGCCTGTGACGTCAGAGAACAATGGCCAGTTTTAATTTGACTGGAAAGTAACAGAAAATCAAACACTTCGAATAAAGGTATGGAGAAGAGCATATCTGGATGCACTACACATCCAACCTTGAAGCAGATGGGCTACAGCTGCAAAAGACCACAACACGTACCACTCCTATCAACCAGAAACGAGAAACCGTGGCTACAGGATTTAAAAAAGCGGACAATAAAAGTTTGGAAAACATTGCCTGGTCTGATGAATCTCAATATCTGCAAGGTGTATGTAATAAAGCGTCAAGAGTATTTGCCCATTAGATAGATGGTAGCTCTTTTACAGGATGGTATCACTTTGCTGAAATGGTTTGGGTCCACTTGTCATTTGACACATTTAACATTACTATAGTTTTGTACTGACCTTTTTATTTTGTAGTGATAATCTTTATCCTATGCGAAAACATTATTCTCCAGACGACAGTGGTGTCTTTCCAGGTGATGATGCACCTCACGTGGTTTATGGAGTGTAGAAATATGGGTCTGCTATGGCTATTGGAATCACAGATGTAATTTCAGCTGAGCATATTGGAAGAATTTGAACTGAAATGTTAGACTACTGCCCACAACTGTTGACTGTTTTTCCCTTTAATTTGTCACCACTTCATAGGAGACCTGATTGTAAATAAATGTGCCTATAAAGCACTTTGGGTCACTTTGGTGTCTTTTGATGTTGAAGGAAACTGTACTCACTGACACATTGACTTTCTTTACAATTTCTTTATAGGAAACACCTACATTTTTAAGTGTGTTACAAGATAAATATATATTCTTAGTGCTTATTTTCTGATTATATTGTTTTTTGTACTTTGTAAATGACCCTGTGCACGAGGAAATGCTAACTTCCTGGTTTGAGACCGGATGTGGGGTTGTACATTTCCGGTAGCTTTACTTTGCGGTCAATCGCTACTGCAAAGATATACCCCAAAATCATGTCCAAAACTTGAAAACGGAAAGATCGCGTTAAGTTTCAAAGAGGAGAAGGTGGGAGCACTCACCACTGTTGTGTCATAAAAAAATCTAATGATCAATTTTGACGTTTAAAGAGTTTAGATCGATCAGTTGTTTACATCACTCAACACAAGCAGAACTGCATTACTGCAGCAGAAGACACATTTCACATTCAGAAGCACATCTCTGTATAGTGACTGGTCTTATGATCTAAACAGGCAAATGTTCAGTATTCAAACTACAGGTGAAGAATAGTCAAACCAGATGTTTCTCCGTTATGTCGAGATCAGCTAGTCAAGTACACACCTACACAGCATGTTAACAAACCGTGAAAAAAGCCACACAAAAAATGAATGATTGCTGGTAAGGGTTTCTATACATTAGTATTTACGAAGGGTATGTTGTGACCTTCAAAATTACAGCGGTCCATCGCTTTAACGCGGTTCACCTTTCACCTCGCTGTTTTGCAGATTTTTTAGTGCAAGTTTGCATGCTTATTTTTACGTCACATTGTGTCCTGCGTCCTGATCGCTGCAGACGATCTCCTCCGTGACGTCTCTCCTGTACAGTACAGAATCGCTGCATCGATGCTAGCAGTGTGACTCTGAAGTGCAGTACTGTATGTCCACGATGTCCACCAAACGTTTTGCACCGTCAAAAAATAAAATTGGCTACTTGATTTCACCCATCGCTGGTTATTTTTAGAACATAACACCCGCGATAAACGAGGGACAGCTGAGAAATATAACATTTGAATCCATTTGCTCTGAGGCGCAGGGAAAAATATCGACAAGTCGATGAACATCATTTACAGATATATTGGGTAAATGCCCAAGACATCTATAGAAATGTAAATCGCCGCTTGATTCATTCATTTGCTTAACTTGTTTTGGACCGTAAACCAGGCGCGAATAAGACACCGGAAACAAAGCTCCCCACAGGAGTTTCCGCACCGGAAGTAGCATATGCTAACGTGCACAGTTCTTTTGAATTCTTTTGGCGACAGAGAAAGACTGGACTCAGAGTGGTCAAGCTCAAAAAATGATCTTTATTTTTACATTTCCGGAAAATTGAGAACTGCAGACGAAGACGTACCCCAGTTCTGAAAGCCTTGCCAGGCAAAATACTAGGGGTGCAACGATACACAAAATTCACGGTTTGGTTCGGTTCCATACTTTGGTGTCACGGTTCGATATTTTTTCGATACAAAACAATGTTGATACCTTTTTAATTTGTTATTTATTAAAATTATAAATATATATTTTAACTCAAAAGTACAGTTTTAAATTTAATGTTGCTGAAACAACAAAATAATAAAAAAAATATATCTATCTGATCGAGAAATCACTCATCTTTGGAAAAGAGAGTTTATTACAGAGAAATGGCTCTTTCCAAAATAAAAGCTATACTATACGCTTCTTCTGGGCTATATTCTCAGCAGCATATTAAACATATCAGGTCCCCATAAGGACAATCATGTGCTAACGGCTGTCTAAATGACTCGGGTAAAGTTTGTAGAGTGTGTGTTTGTTGTTTTTGTCTGCTTCCACTTGTCTTTGCACTAGGATGATGAAAAGAACGGAATTTAATAAATGTTATGATGGTCTGTCTCTCTTCCATTGTTAATTGCCTTTTTTCGACATCTTTGGACCAACACACTACTTTCTACAGTACAATACTGCTCAGCTGATGCTCACCTGTGTTCCAACACCACTTTTATGCAGACAGAGGGGGTTGCAAGTAATGAAGGAAAGTTGGAACACCTGTAGGAATTAATAGCAACAGCTTTCAAGACCTGATTAACCTCCATTGGTGCAGAACAGCTTTACATTGTTAACCCATTTTGTGCTCACTGAAAAAGGCCTTTTTGTATAATTCTGAAATGTACATATTATTCAGTTTTGGGTAACCTTACCTTTTTTAAACCTCTGGCAGTTTGCCATTTACCTTTGTACCATTTCAAGCTATTCATTGGACGACTTGAACTGCAATAAATACCTGCATAAATTTGGGTATTCTAAAACTTTTGACCGGTAGTGTAAATCAGCGGTCCCCAACCTTTTTTGCGCCACGGACCGGTTTATGCCCGACAATATTTTCACGGACCGGCCTTTAAGGTGTTGCGGATAAATACAACAAAATAAAACTAGTACCGGTACCGAAAAAAAGAAGATTTATTCATAACACACGTGAAAAGACCCATGAAAACTGAGTTAACGATAAAAACGATAAAAAAATAACGCTGAAAACCGATAAAAACCCTGAAAACCATACATTTCACGCCTGAGCCCGGGGGTTGGGGACCGCTGGTGTAAATGATCAGTATTAAGCAATTAAGCATAATTAACCACCAGCAAACTCACATATGTATTATAATTTTGTGTTCAACCATTAATACGCTTAATACCATTTCTCTTATTCAGGATCATGTTTAATAACTGGTTGGTGACACATGTCTTATCTTTTCACTGCAGACACTAATCAAAATTCACACATTAGAACACTTGATCTCATTACTCACAATTATTTCTCATTTAACATACCAAAAGACTTAGACTTTGATTTATATCGTTGATTAAGAATAAAGATGATTTTCTATGAGTAAAAAACATGCTCCAAAATCTGCCAGTAGTGCTCGGTATCATTCTTAACAGATGAGGCTGGATGTTAAGAATTTTTACCTCTTCTCAGATATGATGACAGAGGAAAGCCAGGGGGGCTTCACTATCTGTCCAACCTCTCTTGAATGAGCACAGTACCTTTAATACCTGCAGCATGCCCTAATTGCTGTAATAAATTATTATGGTCAGCAGTATTGAGATCTAGCAGGACAAGCACAGAGATGAGCCCACTGTCAGAGGCTATAAGAAGATTGTTTGTAAGCTTCATTAAAGCTGGAGCTGAATCAACTTTCCATTCGACTTGGACCACAAGGTGGCAGCATTGCACAACATTATACTACAGTGCACTTTGCTCTTTGTTCCCGCTTTCTTGCAGAAAGAGGTCTGTACCATGAAGTAGAATTCAGACTTTGCAATGTAACGATATATTTAACTCTAAATTTTCAGAGTTAATTTATACTGTAAATTGCAGAACATAAGTATGGAAGAGGATTAGGGCCACTGGAAATAAAAGTGGGGTCGTCTTTTTTCCGCCTTCCAGTAAGTCCCCTGCCAACAAAAATGTATCCACTGGAGCTACCCACTCCAGTGGATAGCTTACAAAACTTGAACATGTGTCTTTAATAGTTATGTCTTTAATAGTTCTATTGTGATAGGATCTGTTTTGTCCACCCAAATAGCACCCCAGCTAAAGTGGGAGCTTTAAAATATCAATCTGCCCGTATTTCTTCACAGTCATTCTGGGATATCTGATTGGAAGAAGACAGAATAGTCAGATTCTTACCTTACAGGTGCAAAGATGAATGTGATACTACACCTTGGAATTTATATCAGCACTCTTGCGGTGCTGTGTGTTTGTTCTGCTTCTGACGTCTTTGGATTCTGACCATGTGTTTCCTTGGCTGGTTTCCCTTCAATTCCCTTCATTGGTGTGGTGATCCTAACCCCGAGAGTCTGACTGAGATTTTGACCTGTAAATACAAGATGTGTGGATTCCCTTACTCCCTGGGCCCTCTGGATCTCTAGCCCCTTTGTTGGATTGTGTTTGTTGTAAATATATTCAGTCAGTGTGAATAAATGCACTGAACTGTGATCTTCTGAGTTAGCTCATACAATTACCATTGAAAATTAACACTGAAACTAAAATCTTAACTGAGCAGAGAGAATTTGCTCTAGATACCACCTGTAATAAATTGAATTAAATGCAGAAAATCTAAATTAAAAAAAAGAAAAACTGATTAGAAAATACAAAACTCTTTGGCACTTGAGAAATTTTACTCAAACATGTGGGCATGCACTGAATGCATGTATCACTGAAGTGTTCAAATGCCAAATACAGCAGTGAAAGTACTCAAAGGGAGCAGTAGCTGCCATTTCACCAATGCTTTCATTATTTAGTAGGCACTATAATAATTCTTATTTATGGCAAATAAGTCAAAAGATAAAATTGAACTTTATTCTTGTTATAGATACACTGTAATACCAAAACACAGACTCAGAAACAGACACAGTGGCAAGTTTAACAGGTTTTCTACAAGCAGAGTGTAATAACACCTGATCACATTCACTGCAAGGTAAGTATTTAGGTAAGTTTTAAGTACAAAGGAGGTGAGTGCGCTTGCAAGTTGATGTCCGGAGAGTGCAATATGTTTTTTCTTTCTAAGGAAAAGCTGCAAGCTGTGGGGAACAAATAAGTTTTAACTGATAAGCATCCTTCGCTTTCTGGGTGACAGTACTACTAGTTCTGAAGAGCCAAACAGTCCAACGGCTAAACATGCAGCTAAACACAGGAAGAAAAAGCAACTTATGCATAGAAAAACCAGGGTCTGATTTCTTCTAGAGGAGC